CGATGATGCTGCTGATGCTGATGATGCTCATGATGACGAGGATGATGATGATGATGATGCTTATGATGATAATGACGATGATGATGATGGTGATGCTGAGGACGACGATGATGATGCTGCTGATGTTGACGCAGATGTTGCTGCTGCTGCATATGATGCTGCTGCTGATGATGCTGCTGCTGATTATGACGATGATGCTGATGATGCTGTTGATGCTGATGCTAACGCTGCTGCTGATGCTGATGCTGCTGATGATGGTGATGCTGATGATGATGATATTGATGACGATGATGACGATTCTGATGTTGCTGCTGCTGATGATGATTATGTTGATGTTGACGATGATGATGCTGATCATGATGATGATGCTGATGATGATGCTGATGCTGATGATGATGTTGACGATGATGATGCTGATGCTGATGCTGCTGATGATGCTGCTGATGATGATGATGCTGCTGACGCCGCTGCTGATGATGGCGCTCATGATGATGCTGTTGTTGACGATGATGATGATGATGACGATGATGATGATGATGATGATGATGATGATGATGATGATGCTGCTGATGATGATGATGATGCCGACGATGATGCTGATTGTGATCATGATGATGATGATTATGATGCTGATGATTATGATGATGATGATGATGATGATGATGATGGTGATGATGATGATGGTGATGATGATGATGATGATGATGATGATGATGATGATGATGGTGATGATGATGATGATGATGATGATGATGATGATGATGATGCTGATGCTGATGCTGATGCTGATGCTGATGACGACGATGACGACGACGATGACCACGACGTTCACGGCAACGACGAGGACGACGACGACGAGAGAGGACGGTGAGCAGGGCGGAGGAGGAGGAAGAGTTAACGCGGGGCGCTGCTGATTCAAATCGAGGACCCGACACCACAGGATTGTTGGGAACAAGCCGTGATTCGGGATGGCGTGCTGTCCGCGACTTGTGGCGCATCGTTGACAGCGGGGCATAATTTGAGTCGGAGAACGTGTCATGCGCAACATGTGGTGCAGTGGGTGGTACAATCCACGGCGTAACCTGCTCACAGCGGTGCAAGACCCAGACTCGGGAGGCGCATCGTGCGCAGCATGTGTAGTAGCTTATGGTGCAGCCTGGGGCAAACAGTTTTTCGCAAGGTGGTAGTTTTTTCATTGTTTTGCCGATCGGCGCGGGCGCTCGCACCGAGCGGGTGGAATCTCCCCCAGAGGCCGCACTCTGGCAAACAGTCTCATTAAGCGGAGGTCTGGAGCCAGACCTCCCTTCCCCCCCCCTTCCGCCCAAGTAATGTCGAAACGCCGAATAAAAAAAAGCCGCTCACCAGGCGTGCGGCGTGGAACCCATGGCTCAACTTGTGGCGCGCGCAAGCCATGGCGCGATCTATGGCGCATCTTGTGGTGTAGCCTACGGCGCACACTGCGGCGCAAGTTGCGGCACAGCCTACGGCGAACCCAAACGGCGTAACCTTTGCCACAGCCTGTGGCGCAACCTCTGGTGGCCCTCGGCGCAGCCCATGACGCGACATAATGGCGGCAGACAGTCATAACCGTATCATGGGTCCAGTGCGTGATTGAGTGTGGCGGTCCCGTGTTCAGAACCGCGCCGTGTGCTGCCGCATCGTGCAGTACCGCGTGGTGTCTTTGCACGTGCTGCTGGGAGTCACTCGGCGGAGTGACATTGAGACCAGCCGAGGACTACATGGACGAGCGCGGCTGGCCTTACTTCCGCCTCGACGGGGGCACCAACAGAGCGTTGCGCATGGTTCGCATCCATAGCTTCCAGAATTCCACCGCGGCGTCGATCTTCCTCATGACTACGCGAGCCGGCGGAGTGGGTGTCAATCTGCAGAGCGCGGACACCGTGGTGCTGTTCGATTCGGATTGGAACCCGCAGTCGGACAGGCAGGCAATGGCGCGGGTCCACCGCCTGGGCCAGACTAAGCCTGTGTGGGTCTACCGCCTCGTTTCCGCCGGCACCATCGAGGAGCGCATTCTGCAGCGGGCCGAGACCAAGCTGTGCCTCGACCGCGCCGTGCTGGCGGACGGTTTGGGGTCCCAAGAGGCAGAAAAGCGCTCGACCGACCTGTTCGCGCTCGTGCGCTCCTCGATTGCAGGAGCCCCGACGCGCGCCATGAGCGAAGAGGAACTCGAGAGGCTGTTAGACAGGTCGCGGCCGCCAGAGGCGGCCTCCGACTCCCCCGAGCCGCCCGCCGCGGTGCTGCACGACACCATGACGGTCCTTGGCAAGACGGTGCCCAGGGAGAGGCCCAAGACCCTCCCCGACATCGGCAAGCAGTGGATCTCGAACAAGGAAAAAACACATAAACACAATTGTTTCACGCTCCGCGCGGATTTCTTGGATCTGCGCTGGGGCCCCCTGACGGCGGCGCCGCCCCTGGCGCGCTCCGCGCGCTAGGGAGGGGGTCCAAGCGCAAATTCCAGAAATCCGCGCGGACCGTCGAAAGTTGGGCCTGTCCTTTTACAGGAGGAATACTCCCAAATAGTAAAGAATAGTCTGGGGACAATTTGTTCTTGAATATTTTTTGGCCACTTGGGGGTACCTTTTGACTATTTTCAATCTGTCGTCCAAAATCCTCCTGTAGGAGGGCAGGCCCGACTTAAGTTTATGCCTTTTTCTCCCTCTAGGATCGGCAGGAAGCGCACGCCGAACCCGGCCAGCGAGCTGGCTCGCGGCGCCCCCGCGCTGGCCGGTGCCGGCGGGGGCCTCGCGCGTGCGAGCGCGCCGCCCGCGAGGGCCTCCGCGTGCCTCGCGTGCGGCGCCGGCGCGGGGCTGCAGAAATGCGGGTCGAGGTGCCCCGTGCACTTCTGCGGGAGCTGCCTGGCGACGCAGCCGGTGAGGTGGCCCCATCTCGAAGAAGGAAAAACGCCATAAGAGCATGATTTTGTGGCGCTCCGCGCGGATTCCTCGGATCCGCGCTGGGCCCCACCCGCGGCGCCTCCTGCGCGCGCAGCGCCAGGAAGGGGGGTCCAGCGCAGATCCAAGACATCCAAGCGGAGCGCCAGAAGTTTATGTTTATGGCGTTTTTTCTCCTTCTACTATCTGAAGCCGTGGCACGAGGCGTCTGACAAGCGCGAGAAGACCTTCCTTTGCCCTCAGCTCGATGATCCTCAGGACGCTTGTTCGCCCAATGTGTGTGCACCCCGTTCAGCCCAACCAGTCGATCATCACATCGCCTTCGTCGTAGTGAAGGGCCTCGGTGGGCAGACACACGTTGGCGCTAACGCACGTTCTGAGGATCATCGATCAGCACACCTGCCGCGGCTGCGGGCGCAAGCCCGCCGACGCGGGCGGGGCGCTGCTACGCTGCCTGGCCTGCCCTGGCGCCTGGTGCGAGAGCTGCCTGCCTGGAGGCCGAAGTCGGGCCTGTCCCTCTACAGGAGGAATGCTTGTAAATAGTCAAATTATCGTCTGCGGACGATGTTTCTGGATTATTTTTTGACCATTTGGGGGCATCTGTTGAGCTTTTTTTGTTTTTCCTCCAACATCCGCCTGTTGGGGGACATGCCCGGCCTACCTGGAGGCCTGGACGCAGTGTGCCTCGCCGCGGCGGTGGGGAGCGCGGACCCGTCTCGATGATCCTCAGGACGTGTGTTAGCCCAATGTGTGCTAACCTCAAGTCGGGCCTGTCCCTCTACAGATGGGAGAATCAAAAATAGTAACAAATAGTCAGGGGACGATTCTTTTGAGTATGTTTGGGCATTTTTGGGATATGTTTTGACTAGTCTTCATTTTTCGTCTGGGAGGACAGGCCCGACCTGATGTTGAGCCCGCTCGGCCTGTGTCGGCCATCGCCACGCCACGGGCGTCGTATTGCAAGGCTTCGATGGACGAGCACACGCTGGCGCCGGCACGCGTTCTGAGGATCGTCGGCCGTCCCTCCCGAGCAGCTTCCTGCCCATCCGCTGCGCGGCCTGCGTCGGCCGCGGGGGGCGCGGCCTCCCCCTGGAGGCGCGGCGGCTGGAGCCCTCCCGGGCGCTGGACCTCGGCATCGTTGAGCCGATGCCCTGTCCCCATCCCCGTCCACTTCTCGAGCCCCATCCCCTATCTCACCACCTCGGCTGGGGATATGCCCCTCGAAACCCGAAGAGAGCAGCCTGTTTCCCCATCCACGTCTCCAGGGCTCACTTCGATTCGTCCGCTTCGATTCGATTCGATTTCGATGGCTTCGGATTCCGATTCGATTCGGCTTCGGATTCCGATCTGGGTTCCGACTTTGTTCAATGGAGGCCTTATTCGGCTGCCGATTTCCGTCGATTCGACTTCTCCCTACTCGGCCGCCGATTTCCGCCGATACGATTCATTTCGATCGCCTATCCGACTTGTCGATTCGACTCTGGGGGCGCCTGCATCTCGAGCCCCACCGTCTCACCATCTCAGTTGGGGACATATGCCTATCGAAACGCGAAGAGAGCAGCCTACACCCCCCATCCAGGGGGGTAAGTCGGCCAGTGGGGCCCAGCACACGCTGGTGGGGATGGGGATCGGTGCAACGATGCTCAGGACCTGGGCGCGCACGGCGGCGTGGGGGATGTGGACAGCGTCTTCGCGTTCCTGGACACGGCTTAAGTCGGGCACGTCCCTCTACAGGAGGAATATTCAAAACTAGTCCAAAGATCGCCGGATTCCATTCTCTTGACCATGTTTGATTATGTTGGATGTTTTTTGTTTGTCTGTGCATTGTTTGTTTTTGTCGCCCAACACCCGCCTGTAGGAGGGCATGCCCGACCTAGGACAAGGCGGGCAGCGGGTGAGAGCGGCCGTGGAGCGCGCTGTTCGTTCTCGCACGGCGCACGGTCACCGCCGCCTCCGTGGGGCCGTCGTTGCCTCTGGGTTTGACGTAGCCTGCTGTGTCCCCAGCAGGGTAGCGTAGTGTAGTCTGCGGTTGGACTCACGGACGGAAGGCAATGTTCTCCAGCATTGCCGAAAGAGCACAGCAGGCGTGCACGGTCGTCACTCTCAGACAGCTGCTACTGAAACAACGAGGCCTTGCCCTCGTCTTGCCTCTGCTCCTACTGCTGCTCCAGTTTGTCCTGCTCCCTCATCCTCCCTCATCCTCCCTCATTCTCCCCTTCGCCCTCGTCGCTCCTCGCTCCTCCCAACCGGGTGCCTCAGAATATCCCTGAACGCATCCGAACAACGGCGGGACGTCTTCCTTCCTCGAGGTCATCGGCAGCGGCGCGGGGGATGTTCGTCTTGTGGACCTTCCTTGGGCCCATCTAGCGGATGTGTGCAACTCTAGTTCGATTCTGGTTAGACTCCAGCTCGACTCTAGCTCGACTCGAGTTCGACGCAGCATCGACGCATGAACGGAGCGAGTGGCTCTAGAGCGAGCAGCAACAAAAAGGGCCGAGGCTTTGCGAGCTGCTCTTCTCCCCAAACGACGCTGCGCGAGCGCGCGAAGACAGACCGCGCCCCGCGCAGCGCCAGGCGCGGAATCTGCACGAAGTGGCCCAGCTCCTCCGACGGCGTCCGCGGCGCCGACGACGACGGCGACGGCTCCTATTTTTCTTGCGACGTGTGTGTGTGTGTGTGTGTGTGTGTGTGTGTGTGTGTGTGTGTGTGTGTGCGCGCGCGTGTGCGTGCGTGCGTGCGTGCGTGCGTGCGTGCGTGCGTGCGTGTGTGTGTGTGTGTGTCTTTGTGTGCGTGTGTGGGGTTGTGTGTGTGTGTGTGTGTGGGTGTGTGTCTGTGTGTCTGTGTGTGGTGGGTGGGTGGGGTGGGTGGGGTGGGGTGGGGGGTTGGGGTGGTGGGGGGGGGGCCTCGCTTGGTGGCGTGGCCCGCGTTGCCGATCCGCCCGGGGATTTCCTGCCCTACCGTAGGTGCTCATTCTGGCTCGCAGATTCGCGGCCGCGCGGCTCCCATGCACATCGCGCTCACCCGCGGGCCCGCCCGCTGGACATGGCCCCGAAACTCAACCCGAAGCGCGTTCAGAAGCTGGCCATGAAGGCCAAGAGGGCGCCGCCGTCCCAGGGCCACCTGGACGCGTTCGCGCGGGGGGTCGTCTGGGGCATGTACATGGCAGGGATGCCCCGCTGGGGGCTGGGGTCGGTCCGCGGGGGCCTGGGGTTTTGGCCCGCGGCGCCAGCGGGGCCCCTCGAGTTTCCTAAAAGGCCCAAATGCCGCTCTGGAGCCCTGCCCACGTAGCGTTGTCTCCCATAGGCTAATTAGAGGCTAATTAGAGGCGATTTAATCGTAGAAAATACGTATCGCCTATGGAATAGCTTCTGGAAAATACTTATCGCCTATGGAACAGCCTCTAATTCGTCTCTAACCAGCCTCTAATTTGCCTATGGGACACGCCCAGAAGGCCCCGCTGCTCGCCCGTGCGGAACCCTCCCCCCTGGGGCCTCGGAGGGCCTGCGCGGCGCACTTGGCGCGCCTGGCGCAGCTGGCGCCGTCGACGTCAGGGAGCTCGGCGGCCGGGAGTGGCAGTCCCTGGCGGCGTGGGCCCGGTCGACGCCTCTCGAGCAGCGCCGACAGGAGTCGGTTCTGCAGGGGGGCGCAGGATTGCGGGCGCTCTCGGCTTAACTGAGTGAGCGGGTGGCCTGTCGCCCAGTCCCCAGAGAGACGTAGAGCCGGGATTGTGCCCTTCCGCCCAGCGCATTTTTACAGGGGCGCATGCAATCGTGCGCGCGCCCACGCGAGAGGCGCGCGACATACGCGTCATCGCCAACGCCATCTGTCATCGCCACCGTCGTCGCCTTGCCCCGCGCGGGAATGACCCGCGGGGCCGTCGTCGTCCTCCCCCCCCCTGCTCTGCGCCCGTCTTCCGGCCCTTTCGTCGAAATTGAACGCAAGTTTTTCCCACCCCCGTCGCCCCCAAATTTCAATGTTCATCGACGGGCGCATCGCGGCCGGCGGGGTCCGAAGAAAATCTCGAAGTCGCCGGCGTCGGCGTGAACATCGAAATTGGGGGTCGGGGGGCGCCGCCAGGTCGCGGCTAAAACTTGCGTTCAATTTCGACGAGGGATGTAGGCCAGAGTATATTTGCATCCGCCGCCTCGGACACCAGGAGGCGGATGATGCGGGCAGCCTCGGACCCCCGGGGGGGGGGGGGGGCAAAGCAGTCATCGCACCTCAGAGGGGATTGAGGGGGAGGGGGGGGGGCATCTTAGAAACACCAACCCCCTGCTTCTTAGAAGGTTGGGGGGGGGGGGGGGGAGCCGTGCCGTGCGGGCCGTGTCTTTAGATCTAGGGCCGGCGCTGCAGGGCCGGCGCCTTCAAAGAAGCAGCCTCCTAAGAAGCTTTTCCCCCTCCCCCTACCCCCTTGTGCGCGTCGCAAAGATGTCCGCGTTCACTGGCCGTTTGGGTCCTGGCACGTCGGCTTTCACAGCGGTCGGTGGACACGCGCGACTCCTTCCGAGGCGGGGATTTCTCCAGAATCACCACCCGACTGGGGATTTCGGCAGGGGGGTGGATACTGACATTTTCGGGGACCCTGGGGTCCTCGGCAGGCGGTGGGTAACTGTGGATCTGGATATGGACCTGGGTATGGATATGGACATGGATATGGAGATGGACCAGGATCAGGATGAGGATCTGGATGTGGGTCTGGGCCTGGATCTGGATATGGATATTGATATGGATATGGATATGTATCTCGATATGGATCTGGGTATGGAAATTGATCTGGCAATGAGTATGGATATGGATATGGACATGCGCATGTGTATATATATATATATACACATGTGTATAATGTGTGCATATATAAGAATATACACGGGCCCTCGTGACGCCGGCCGAGATCCCCGAAGACCGCCCCCCACCCTCCCTGGCGGCGATGTGGCCACGGCTACCTCTCCGCCGCTCCAGCCCTGGACCCTCGCATCCGGCGCCGACGTGGGCGGCGGGTCGACGGCGGCGGCGGCCTCCCCGCCAGGGGCCCCAAATGGTGCGGGCGCTGCTGCTCGCCGCCCTCGCGGCGGGCGCGGCGGCCAGGCCGGACCTCCTCCACGGCAAGGCGCGCGGCCAGTCGCCCCCGAGAGGAGGAAGAGGAGGAGGAGGAGGAGGACGAGGAGGAGGAGGAGGCGGAGGCGGAGGCGGATTCGGAGGCGGAGGCGGCGGCGGCGGAGGAGGAGGAAGAGCACGAGGCGGATGATGATGATGATGATGATGATGATGATGATGATGCTGATGCTGATGATGATGATGATGATGATGATGATGATGATGATGATGATGATGATGATGATGATTGTGGTGGTGCGGATGATGATGATGATGGTGATGATGATGGTGATGATGAAGATGGTGTGATGATGATGCTGATGCTGATGATGATGATGATGCTGATGATGATGCTGATGATGATGCGGATGCGGATGCTGATGCT